CTTTCCCACAGGCGTCCACATTGCAAATATAAGGTTTTTCACCCGAATGTACCCTTTTGTGGATAATTAGCTGAGATTTACCCGTAAATCCACGGTTACATTCACTGCAAGCAAACGGCTTTTCTCCCGTATGTATTAGTTTGTGTTTTTTAAGTGATTCTTTAAAAGCAAACATTTTATCGCAGTTTTTGAAATCGCACCGAAACTCTCGGATACCTAAATGTGTGCCCTTTTTATGGTTTATTAAACTCGATTTGTAAGCAAATTGCTTGACACAACCGTCCACATCGCAAACAAACGGCTTATCACTTGAATGACACAATTTATGTTGAATTAGGGTATATTTATTATCAAATGCCCTGTCACAATTTTCAAAATCGCACTTAAAGTGTTCAACACGTTTATGATGTGTTAAATCAGTTTTAATAGCAAACTGTTTATCGCAGTCATCGATATCGCAAGCAAACGGCTTATCCACAGAGTGTGTGGCCTTATGTTTATAGAGACCACGTTTGGTACTATAACTTTTACCACATTCACTGAAATCACATTTATATTGTCCATCCATGCGATGAGTCCTTGTTTTATGTACATTCATTTGACCCATATTTGCCGTCACAGCATAACAATTAGGTTCACTGCACTCAACATACTTGCCGTTCAAGTGGTCATCAATTATATGTTGTCGTAAACTATGGTTGCCGTCAAAGCATTCATTACACGACTTATAATGACATTTGAATGCCGTGTTAATATGTTTACGTTTATGTTGATTAAGCTGGGTACTTTGTTTAAAACATTGTCCACAACCGTCTACATCGCAAACGTACGGATTTTCACCCGTGTGTTGCCTTTTATGGATTATTAAAGTCTTTTTATGTCTAAACCAATTGTCACATTCATCACACTTGAATGGTTTCTCTCCCGTATGAACGAGTTGGTGGTCCATAAGGTGGCATTTAGCGGCAAATGCATAGTCACAGTTGTCGAAATTGCATTTAAACTTACGACCACCTAAATGATCAAGGTATTTGTGATTTTGTAGGTAGCGTTGAATAGCGAAACGTTTACCGCATCCATCGACATCACAAACAAATGGTTTATCGGTGGCATGTGTGGCCCGATGTACGACTAGGGCGTAGTTAATGTTAAATCGTTGGCCACAACCAGGGTAATCGCACTTAAATCGCCTGTTGTTAATATGAACGATACGTTTATGTGCAGTTAAATCTCCTGACAATTTATAACGTTTACTGCAGCCATTATAATTGCAAACAAATGGCTTTTTACTCGAATGACTCGCTTTGTGGGCCATTAGAGCCGATTCACTGACACATAGTTTACCGCATTTGTCGTAATCGCAAATAAATTGGGATTTATTTAAATGGAAAATGTTTTTATGTTTAACTAATAAACTCTTTGTAACATAACGTTTGTCACAATTACTGTATTTGCAAACATATCTCTTATTTCCGTGTTTTGCTATAATGTGATAATCGAGACTAGATTGACGTGAATAAACTTTGTCACAGTGTCTAAAACTACATTTAAATATTTGGTCAGTGTTTGTATTTATATTCACAACACAGTATTCATTATTCACTGCATTAACTTTGCATATAATCAAATTGGTAATATTGTTATTAATAGTACCAATTTTACCATTATTATCGACACTAGAATTAATAGATTTTGAGTTTTCATTCACAACACTATGAATATGAAGCAAACTGTTATTAATTGCAAACAATTGTCTCAATATATTGGTGGTAATATTGATATTCATTTCAAAATAATAAACTTATTAAAAACAATATTTCAAATCAATAAAACTTAATTCACTTTATAATACTGTTCAGTATAATGGACTCATACTATAATACAATGTTATATAAAATTCAAACCAAATTGTTGTGAAACATAAAACCAAATGAAACTTTAATTATCATGTACATTCAGTGGACAAACTGGGCCTACATGTGCTCACATGTCTTAATAGCTTGAAATTATTAATACCTAGAAATAAATTATCGATTGATAAAGCTAGGTGAACCCTGGGATTAAGCTTTAATTCAAACAAATTATTTTTGAAAAACAACATTTTTGGACATTAGACTACAGGTCATGTTGGTTTATTAATAAATTATTTGTGATAAACAATGTTATTACAGGGAAATGAAATGTTGTTGAAATTCAGTCAACACTATTTTAAATATAATTTAAGGTTTAATATAAATAGACAATAAGGTAAAATTGATAATTTTATTTATTTGAGATTAAAATTGTTTATCTATACAAGAATAAAATAATATAACTTAATCTTTGCACTGATTTTAAGCAAAATGGTGTGATTTTAAAAAATTATTAAATTATAAGAAAATCACAAGAAATAATGCAATATTTTATTATTAGTACATGTTATTAGTATGGCGTTTATGTTATTATTTTAATTTATTAAATTTTAGCATAATATAAGTTTACATTGTAAATATAAATTAATAACTTAATGAATCAAAAGAAAAATTTAAACAACAGTTACTAATATCTAGAACTTTATTTATAACTCTTATGAACATTATTCAAATGTCTTTTCATATGATGTTTGCCATTACCATCATTTCCGGCAATATAATCACAATTATCTTCACCACACTTAATATACTTGCCATTCAAATGGTCGCCAATTATATGCTGTCGTAAACCATGTTTGCTATCAAAGCACTCATTACATGGTCTATAATTACATTTGAATTCACTCTTATAGTGCATAGATCTCTGGTGATGATATAACCCGGATGACTGTCTAAAACTCTTACGACAAGTGTCTATATTACAAACAAATGGCTTTTCAGCCGAATGTATACTTTTGTGGGCATTTAGATGAGAGTTAGACCGAAACCTATGGCCGCACTCATCGCAAACAAACGGCTTATCATTCGTGTGAATCTTTTTATGTTGATTTAGCTTAGAATTACATTTAAATGACCTGCCACAGTTTTGGAAATCACATGTAATCACGCGATCGTTGAAATGATCAACGCGTTTATGATTCACTAAATAGCGTTTGATAACAAACCGTTTGTCACAACCATCGACATCGCATACAAATAACTTATCGGTGTTATGTATGTCCCGGTGTAACAGCAAATAAGATTTGCGATTAAAACTTTGACCACACCCGGGGTACTCGCACTTGAATTGTCTCAGGTTTTCATGAATGGACATTCTGTGTTGATTTAAATGTTCAGGATCTTTAAACCGTTGATTGCATCCCTGGTGATCGCATGGATAGGGTCTCTCTCCCGTGTGGACCCTTTTGTGTCGATTCAGAGCACATATACCGATAAACTTTTTGCCGCATTTGTCGTAATTGCAGGTATATTTGGACTCAACATGGTCAATGGTTTTGTGTTTCAGTAATTGATACTGAGTTTTGAAACCTTTACCACAATTAGCATAACTGCAAATATAGTTATTATTATCGGAGTGTTTTGTATAGATATGTTGCTTAATACCCTGATACGTTGTATAGCTTTTCCTACAATTATTAAATTTACAAATAAACGGTCCTTTGTTGTTGTATTTATAACTTTCTTTAACTGTAAGCCAGTTCGTTTTACTTATTGTTTTATGACAAGATATGTCAATTTTACACAATTTAACATTATTACTATCGTTAATGTTAATTTGATTGTCATTATTAACACAGGTTAAAAACTTTAAGTTATCATTCATAACACTGTTAATATTAAGCAAACTATTATTAATTACAAACAATTGTTGCAACAATTTTGTTTTACTTTTAAACATTTTAAAACAAAGTACACACAACTGTATATTCACTATAATATTAATAATTATTATATGAAAATGCTTTTAAAGTTGCCAGTTAGGTGTGGACTGTATGTTCTGGATTTAAAATAACTTTTACCATGTATTCAATTTATTATTGACTTGTCTGAATGAACTCTGTGCTCATTTAATCAAGGTACCATGTTTACTAAGCTGATTATCATTTTATCTTTAATAAGTTAAAGATAAGATAATAAGTTATTAATAATAACAATTGCCAAATGTTTTTGCTAGAGTAAATAACTTTTATCAGTACTTGTTAATCTTTTTGTTTTTCAAACAACAAGCAACAAAAAACTACAGTATATTTACATATCTATCAAGTTTCTTTTTTACAAAAAATTGCTATAATTTCATATTCAATGTTTTTCCTAATTATTTTACTTTTTCTATGCAAGCACATTTGCACTTAAAAATTAATATAATATAATTAATTAATATAAGCCGTATAATACCAATCATCATAAATATAATACTTTGCTAATATAATTATAATGATTAATTATTTTTTAAACAACAACAACATCTGGATTTTTATATCTATTGTAGTAATTGTTGCTAGCTTATTAATTAAATTGTACAAGGCACTAGTTGGGTATAGCTACAGAAAAGTTATGTTAGCTAGTATACCCGGTCCACCAGCTAGGTATACACTTTTTGGTAACTTGGATATGATCTGGAACAATTGCAATGTTGAACAAAATCGTAAGTAATTTATAAAGTTTATAGATACTATGTACTATTACTAATTTTAGTTATATTACAATAGCTGCTGATTATATATTCAAATCAATGGCACACTTATATAGAAATGAAGGCATATTTAAGTGTAGGAATGCCAACAGAGTTATGGTTTTGATATTCAATCACGAATTAGCACAGGTATGTCATAGTAATGGCTATTTTTAAATAAATAAGTTTTAAATTTTTATTAAATAGGATTTTCTCAAATGCAATGTCAATATCGAGAAGGCATTTGAATATCAATTACTGTATGACTGGTTGGGAAAGGGTTTGCTTATCAACGACTCGGCCGACTTATGGAGGGAACGCCGAAAACTACTGATCCCTGCCTTCCATCAGACAATTCTCACAGAATTTGTGCCCATTTTTAACGAGAAGTCCGATATTCTGGTGAAACGTTTGGCCGATTGTGTGGACATAAGGGGTGTAAACATTTGTGATCTCGTGTTCCCCACAGCACTCGACATCATAACCGGTATTTCATATAAATACTAAACATATCATGGCTTATAAAAGTATTGTATAATAATTTTATTATTCAAACCCCAGTCAGGAATGGGTATCAAAATGAATGCCCAACAAAATGAAAACCAAGACTACATTCACGCCATTCAGCAAGTGGGGAAATGTCTGCCTGTTTAATCCTATGTTGTGGTTAAATGTTATCTTTTATATGACATCTTCGGGCAAACAATTCAAACGAAACCTCAATATATCACATAAATTGACTCGACGTGTGATTAATGACAGGAAAGACTATTTACTGTAAAATAAGGGAAATGTCTGTTCAGACAGTGATTGCAAACCAAGTAAACGCAAGAGATTAGCATTTCTGGACCTATTATTAGAGAATCATTTCCCGCTATTGTACGCGCGATTAAGGAAGACCTGAATCTTGGAAAGTATACAATACCTAAAGGAGTCTCACTATGTCTGATGATAAATAGTTTACATCAGGACCGGATATATACCCTGAACCCCTACATTTCAAACCCGAAAGGTTTCTGAATGAAGGGAACAGTAGTCGCAATCCCTTCGCATACCTGCCCTTTTCAGCCGGTGTCCGCAATTGTATCGGTCAGAAGTTTGCGTTAATTGAGTTGAAAATAGTTTTGGCGAAAGTGTTGCTTAACTATAGCTTTGAATCCCTGGACCCGAGAGACCGTATCATTGAATACAACGCTATTGTCTCGAAACCAAAGGGTGGGCTAAGAGTTAGAGTTAGCCATAGGAGTGGTGTATAAACCTATTGCCAAAATTTGTGTATATTCTGTGTATTTACCAAAAATGCAATTTATATTAATTGTATTCAGCTTAATCATTAGTCCTATGTAATCATAGTAAAATATTTAATCTAGGTTAATCATGAATGCACTGTTTAACAGGTAATCATAATAAATTTAGGCATAAAACGATAAGTTCAAAAACATAATTAATAGTCGCCATGTGATTGGGAAATAACTTCCCCGACACTCCCGAGGGTTTCATAAAGTATTGTGACAATCAAACACCGGTTTGCGAGCTTATGTATTGCTGGATACCATCAGCGCCGGTCGTTTCGATCTCTTTCAATCGTTTAATGGTTAGCCCCTTAACGATGTCCGCCGGGATGGATGCGTTGCATAGGGTTTCCATTTCGCGCTGTAGTTCCACCGCAAACAGGGAGTCGATGCCCACGTCCCGAAGTGTCAGGTGATCGGGCACTGTGTTGGGGTCGATGGACAGGTAGTTCCACAGCTGTTTGATGTACTTCTTATGCCGTTCTCCAGGCGCTTCGTCACCGGGCTTACGGTCTGAATTGGCATCACTTTTCAACTGATTTTCCGGAAATATTTTGGCATTAATTGTGAACTTATTTTAAATATATTTACAGTGTGATAAGAAATAAGTGATAACGATTTGAAACTTGAATAACAAACTGATTATAAATAGAAACCAGACATGTTATATACCAAATTAAAGCCTGTAATCGTAAAAAACATATTCGGATCACTCGAACACATTTTAAGCTCTATTGATCACTTCTTGTGGTATTTTCTGAACCTCTTCTGTAATGGCTTTTTTAAGGCCTGAAATTGTTGTCACTTTCCGTCGATTTAATCTATGTATAAGATAACCACATAATAAGTAATCCATCGGACCCGCACCCGGGCTGTCAGGCATCCATTTCTTGGAGATTCATCATTTGGTTAACACTGAGAATCCGTTTGCTATGGATTTGGTTTGCAATGAAATACAACCAATACTTCACTAACACTAGAGTACATGTGTTTCACAATTAATGAGATTAATTTGATATAATTAAATATTTTATTGTAATTAATTTATTTAATCATTGACATTTGAAAAATAGCACTTGTACTTTACGTACGTATATAATTAATTATAAATATATAAATATATTTTAATTACTATCATGGTTATACAGGGTATTGCAATAGAAGCACGTAAGTGTACAAGCTTATTATTCAAAAACTAATTGAGATATCAAAACACTTTAAACGGGGATTTGTAGAGGAAAGTATGGCATTTTATAATAAGTATTAATCAAATCTGAGCTAGTTCAATTAATAATATTTTTATATACAATCTTACAGTCAAGGGTTACAGATACAATAAAGGGAACTAGATGATAACTTATTATTGTGATTTTTTTGACAAAGGTATGATCTTTCATATGCCCTTGGAATCATTACATTCTGATGTCTGGTTCGTCCAAGATTAACACTTGAAATTCACTGACTTCTATGGAAAAATACATGTAGCATATTTTGTTCATTAATAATTTGTAAACCATAATATCTAGGTAAATGTCTTCAATTGTGAAGTAAAAGTGTTTGAGATTCGCTTTCGAACGAACCATATAATATTTGTCTATGTCTTATAGTTCTTGCACAATACTCATTTGAATCAAAAATTACAAATCCCATATAACGCAATGTTTTACATATGAAAAACAAAAGATTTGAAATGTAGTTTTGATGAAATGTTGAAATGTAATCACTAATTATATGACATATCTGTGCATTACTTCAGCTATGAATCCAATATCACAATCGACACCAACGACTACCAAACCGATGGGAACTACCCTTTCGTTTCAATACTCATTATCAAAGGATATTTTTCTGACAATAATTGTGACTTTTATCACACAACTGAATGTCATTTTAATATAACAATCGGACATTTATTGGATAAACATAAAAATGATAAAACAATTTTTAATCATTACAATTTATTTTTTGACACCATGCTCAATTTCAATGACATAAAATTTGTGGACTCTTATTATATCGCACCTAGGCGCTTATTACGGACATTATATCTGAACGAGTCTATTGTGAATAGTAACACATTGTTGGCAATGAAAATGATATATAATAATGAGTGGAATATATTCTTTGATATACTTTTACACTCTAAGCCATACCTAGGACTTGACGGGGGTATATCATCATTAATGGAGCAATATAATAGTTTCAATCACACCTTAATTATTAAGAAAACGATTGTCACGTATTTACCTGAACCTCATGGCAACTGTAGTTCCTATGCCGGCACTACTGGTTAACAACCATTCGGTTCCCAATCGCATACACAGTGTGTGAGACGTTGTGTCGGATATTATTGGAGACAAAGACACAAATGTTATCCGATTTTTATAAACAATTATTTACATGAATTGGACTACGAATCAAAACACACCCAATTATATTGCTATTATTTTGACCAGTTTAAAAGTATTTATAACAATATGATTTTTGAATGTTTGAAATATTGTCCCAAAGATTGTTTGACTGTTGAGTACAACTCGAGAGTCATATCAAATGATTCACAAATTGGTAACGATTTGTGGCATAACTTGAGTCTTGAGAATAGGTTTACAGAGAAGTCCTTCATTTGGGACACAACACAACCCCTGTATGTCTATCGGGAGGAACCGGTTATGTCTCTAACAGACTATATGTCATATACTGGAGGANCCGGTTATGTCTCTAACAGACTATATGTCATATACTGGAGGACTGTTTGGTCTATGGTTTGGCACTAATGGCAAAGACTTCATGATTTGGTTAACACTGAGAATCCGTTTGCTATGGATTTGGTTTGCAATGAAATACAACCAATACTTCACTCACACTAGAGTACACGTGTTTCACAATTAATTAGATTTATTTGAAATAATTAAATATTTTATTATAATTAATTAAATTTAATTAATCATTTACATTTGAAAAATAACAATTATACTTTACGTAAGTATATAAATTATTATTGTAATTTATTAAGCTATTGACAAATTAATATGTAATTTAAATAAAATTATATTTTCTTTACGATTATTATTCTATAATATTATAATATTTTCAGGGTCAACCAATTAGTAGATCATAAATATCAGAAAATATTACTGACTATTCTGACTATTCATTAACAATTAATGTAAAAATCTCGTGAACTTTAAAATAACTATGCTTTAAATTATTGTCTAATTTACATGCAATCCAATGGGCGTGGTGTTAATATTGGTTTTAATATTATTTTAAATAAAATAACTGATTAGATTAATGAATGTGTTTTTTATGAATGTCAGGGATACACTTAAACCAATATTTTATCCATATTTCTTGCATTTTAAGATATAATATAACTTTCCCTATTGTTTTTTATTTAAAAAATAAAGTTTTATAAATATTTGACATGATTGATATACGCTAAAATAATCTATTCACTATATCATCATAATACCTAACATAGCCATAAAAATAAGTTTTATGTCTTACAAACTTTCCGTTTTCTAGTAGCCATGTGTATTACTAAATAACCAGAGTAGTTTAAATTAATAATTTGTAAATGAAAAACAATTTTAACAGATAACCATCCGGATTATTATTTCTATAACAAAGTTATATATATTTCTAATTAAGCACTTATTAATAATATGAAAAATATTAATCAAAATATTAGTTATCAGTACTTTGGTAATCGTATCTAAAATATTAGTGGAAATGTATGATTAGAAACAGCGCTATAGTTATAGAAATTATAAATTAAATACAGTTTGTTACTATAATTAATATTCATTGTAATCCGGGCCATGTTGCTAGTGAAATAACTGTAAACATTATAACATTACTGTAATAATGTATGTCAGTATTATGATTAATGTTAAAATAGTATAAGTTTTGTCACCCATAATGTGACCCGAATTGGCCCGAGTGTTCAGGGTAGGTTTGGTTAGGTTACGTAAGGTAGTATGTAGTTTTTATAGTTGTGAATGAAAATATGTATTAAAAGTTAAATGCTAAATAGATAAGTGAATACCGGTGCTTTGACAATTAATAAGATCACCTAAAAGTTTACAATATGAAATAGTTTATGAAAATATAAAAAATAATATATTCTTGGTTTTATTTGCTGAACGGGTGGTTATATTATAGTTTAATAAAATCGATTAAGTAAATGCATTACAATTAGAAAAATACAAATCATAATTTAATTAATATAATTGTTTGTGTTTATATTTTGGGTTAAGTTGTAATACAGTAATGTATTTTAATCAGTAAAAGTAATAAACAAACATTGATTGCAATAAATAAACATAAATACAAAAACAAATAACATTGCAATCAAATCTATTATTAAATTATTTTATTTATTACATGACATTACATGACATTATTAAATAACATTGTATTTAATTTGAATGTTTTTGACATTAATGTATGAGTGTTGGTTTTGATTTTAATATCAAATAAGCAATACAAATATAATATCATTTATGCATATGAAAGTTATGGCTATACTAACTATATTATGGAGTATTTATTGGAAATTATATGTATATTTTAATTTAATTAATTTTAGATTAAAATTATTTTTAAATTTTATATTATTTGTTTTAAAAATATTATTAATTTTATTGCAAAATATAATTATTATAACAAAAAGTTACGTAAAACACAACTTAAAGTTAAGTTTGAAATTATGTGCAAAACTATTGTGTCTTTCAGTGCTATTCTACGGAGGAATAGAAGTGACAAAAGAGTACTTCAGTTATCCATATGTTTACAGACTTAGTGTTAAACCAAATGAGAGACTGGATTTACCGCCGATTACTATATGTACGGAAAGGCATGTGTTTTTGGATAAAACAAAAATTAGTCAATACTTTAATCTCAACCATAAATACGAGAAATACAAACAAATTGTTGAAGAATTTAACACAAAGTTGACGACA